TGTGACCTCTCTTCACTAAAGCTAGAGGAACTTACAGGGAACTGTCAGACTCCATAAATAAAGGGGCCTAAGAATTAGTGAGTTACAATTGCTATGCCTCAAAAAAGTTTATAAATTTACCTGTTAGCTTGAATGCTCATGCCTTTGATTATATATGCTCTAATTTCTCAGAAAATTTTTTTTCTTAGAAGATACCAAAACCCAGGTAATCATACAGGTAAAACATATAGAAAATATGCTAATTACTTTTACTGGGATCCACCTGATTTTGTCAGAGACATATTAAGGCCTTAACTAACTATATCCACCTCATACAGCCCAGCTGAGCTGAGCCCTCTCCAGGGTTTCCTGCCCCATTACAAGGAAAGCTATCTTCATGTTCCTTGGGCAGGGCTGATTGCCCTCAAAAGATGCTTCCTCTATCAGTCTAATCCTATGTCAGGAAACCCACTACAGGGGAAGTTGCCATCACATTCCTTGGGCATGGCTGCCTGCAGGAGGCCTTAAAACAAAAAATTGTATGTTGCTCAGTGGGCCCCAGGTATCTGACACAAGTTGCAGAAATTAGAAGGCTTGCAGGAATGAATTTGTCTGAGCTGAGGTGTTTCATAGAACCAAGGATACAGGATGGAATTATAGACGGAAAATGAGACTAGTGATACTAGCAGCCTACAGGAATAAACGCCAGTCGGGAAACAGGGAAAAAGTTACGTTTCCCTGGATCCAGACACAGAGAAGGGACATTTCAAGCAAAAAAAAAAAAAAAAAGTCCAAAGCTACTAGAGAGGGAAAAAAGTGTTCATGATGGAGTCAGAAGAAGTTTCAGACTGAAGTGGTCATGGGTCTTCACCTCTCAGCCTGAGGGAACCCATATTAACTGCCAATATAAGAAAGCCTATTAAACCTTGCTCATACAGATGTGTCAATGGCCAGCCAGTGGCCACACTTGCAAATTGGAAGTACTCAGTGTTTTCCCTAGGTCTATAATTCATGTGCCCCTGTAATAAGAGAGGCTAGTTTATTTGAAATGGCCGTACAAGATTAAAAAAAAAAAAAGGAATTAAACTTCATGCTTAAGAGATCTCTGCTAATGGACCTACAAACAGTTCTAGTCTTTTTATAATTACAAACTTTAAAAGGTTATTACATTCAAGATCCTTCTGCTAATGTCTCAATAGCTGTTTAAAATATTAGATATCAAATCAATGGTATGTAAAATGTTGAGGTCCCCTGGACATTATCATTTTTATGGGAAGTCATTACTCTCTACTTGGTAAAAATCATTTTTGATTGTATTCATAATTATCCTGTTGATATTATTTGGCCCATACATATTTGTTTCTTTGGCTTTGTCTCCTCCAGACTTAAAAAAACTATTCTACCTACCCAAGATAAAAATGCCTGGTGTCTATTGAAGGCCTTTAGACAGAACCTCTGGAGAACATCTCTGACTGTTGGTCAACAACTACGACCCCTTTCAGCCTGAAGAATCCAGAGTGGTCATCACCTATGTTTCCCTCACAGCAGTTTGGGTTACTTGTTCAGAGGGGGCAATTTGTAGGTAGCTAAATTAGATGGAAATATTATAGGCAGTCAGACAGGGCCAGACCCACAAGGAGATGATATGGAAGACAAGGTGATTTTGCAACTATGGACAGACACTCCTCCACTGTGGGCCAGACCTCAAGACAAAAGAGGAAACAAATACAGCTACATACTTCCCTAGGGATGGTCATCAGGGATTGATATTCTAAATAGGTATCAATCACCTTGAAAGAGCCCAAATGAATCACTAACCCAACCCCCAATAGAAAGAGACCTTGTCCAGTGTTCATGTCCGCTTGCTATCTGACTTGCTTCCCCATTTGGTACCGAGTTAATCAATTTTAATTGAGCAATGGAGCTTGTAATCTCATTGGTTGACCATAGTTTTGTCCCACCTCATGTTCACACAAGCGAGTTCCCATGTTCTGCACCACCTTACACCCACCTCATCACACGGTTTTACTCTATAAAAGTCACTGGAAGAAACAGTTTCCCGGGGAATACCTGCTTGGAGCCCCATTCCTGTCTGTCCAGTCTCTTGGACAGGAGCTTTCTTTCCCCCAATAAATATATTCTGCTCATTAAAAAAAAAAGGTCTGACCAAATAAAAAGTTGGAAGTATTATCTCACTTTTGATATATATGCATATACATAAGAACATGTACCAAGTAAGTCTGAAAAAAGAATTATCCTTCCATATCATAATTATCATACTGTATTTGGGGTGTTATCAAGTCATGTATCTAACAAAGGGTTTTTCTTGATTAATTTATTTTAAGATACAAAGCACTCTTGAAAAAACAGGGTGAAAAAAATCTCACCCTTCATTTCTGAAACTTTAAAGTCACTTGATATAAAAGTGGTAAAAAAGAGACCAATTTAACCATTACTCAGTTATTCCAAATGCTAAATAAGATATTCACAAGCGCTAGATGTCACTGTGTCCAAGTCTTTTAGAGATCACTTTAAAAAACAAGCCGGTGAACAGTTATATTGCGTAAACCATAAACATTTACCTACAGTACAAAAGAAAATAAAATTTCTGAGAGGATATTTATACTTTGCAGTGGTGTCCTCAAAGGTATTTAATGAGTGCTTGACATAAAAATTTGATGACATGATCTAAAAAATTAGTTCAAAAGTAGTTCAATTAATTACAAAGACATGGATATAAAGATGCAAATAAAAGAACTGGGAATTTTGAGCTAATAATAGAATTCCTCAATTAATATACAACCTTTTAATATATAACCAATTAATATATAACCTAAATCAGTATATAACCTTTCATAAAACATAATTTTAAATAAATTCAAGCTATCAAATCCATTTGAGATCTTAATGGAAAAATGGGAGATAATTTTATATTCAAAGATTACCACTATATGTGCCAATAATTTTGATAAAAAGTGATTAAATGCCAATAGTAACAATCTTAGAGCTGTGATTTTAATTTTCTCTATGCTTCTTTTATGTTTTCAACATTACCTTTCTCTTTTTGGCGGAACCGGGAACTCAGGCCCTTGTGCTTTCCAGGGAAGCGCTTATTCTACTGAGCCATCTCCCCGGCCCCAACATTTCCTTTCTCCTTATTTATTTATTTATTTATTTATTAGAGAGAGAGAGAGAGAGAGAGAGGTGTGTGTGTGTGTGTGGCCAGCTCAGCCCACCAGGGGGCGGGGCTGGCTGGCATGTGGTGCTGGGGGATTGAACCGTGGTCCCTAATGCTTTGCTAAGCTTGTTCTAAGTAGGTGCTTTAGACCACTGAGCCATCTCTCCAGCCCTCCTTTCTCCTCTTAAACTTTGATTGAAACAAAAGTGTAATAATTTAATAAAGCTTCTTTTTACAAAAAGTTTACAACTTGTAAGAGATAGGGTTGTGCAATCTTTGCTTTGAAAGAGGTCAACAGTCTCTTCAGTTGAACTTTTTGTCAAATCATAGTAAACTTATCTATGATAATCTAATATTATCTAGCTTTCTCCCAAACACTTCAGATTCACAGATCAGTATTTTGAAAACAATTTATCCCATTATTAGCTGAAAATTTCAGCTGTGATCTATCAATACAGTACTTTTATTTAATTTCTGCAATAGACACTTAGGTTTTTACAGTATGGGAAAATACATATGGCTCTCTAATTTCCTACTACTATTTTCAAGTTTGTAACCTGGAGAAGAACACATAGTTATGTTTTCTTCATAACACTGTCCTTGAGGTGTTTATGGTAGCTATCAAAAATACCTTACTTTTTTCTAGATCTTCAATTTTGGTTTAATATATTCCCTACCCAAAATTTGCTATTATTAAATTGGGTATAAGGGCTCCAAACAACATTCCAAATGGTTTCTGATCAGCTTTAAATAGAATAAATAGTCCCAGTATATCAGACAATCTTTTTTTTTTGAAATGCAGTTTGCCTATATAACATTGCTAGTAGTTACTATTAACAGCTTAAATTTATAGTCAACAAAACTATACAAATCTATTTTGCTATTAACTCAAGTCTTTCATATATACTGCTTACACACAAAACATCCCACATTGAATTTTAGACAAGTTTATGGGGAAAACATTCAAAATAGAATGTAATGGAATGTAATCAGAATAAATGGTGTTTTTCTTTCCTGGTCCCAAAACTCTCTTCTTCTACCTTCTACATTTTCTAGCCTTACTAAGTTTACAACACAATCAACATATCTACTACTTATTTCTACTACACGAAGTTGCAAACTTTCTGTGCTCAGTTATGGAACAAAACCATATCATCAAGGCCATATGATTAAGTCACTTGGGTCATAATAAGGGAGGAAGGCAAAGTAAACACATAAATCGTGAAGATACGGTGATTATTGCTAAGATTTTAGGAAACCATCAATGAACACACAAACCTAGTTTTCCTTTTGGTGTTCTTCAGCACCTGCAGCTGCACCCACCAACTCTGAGAGGGGACAGGAACTTCTGTATCTGTATTTCTTGCATACATTCTTAGAAAAGGTTTAAAAGACTAGTTCTTTCTCTGTTCCTAAGACAACTGAATTTACATAAATACAGGTACCAACTTATTCCTGTATTTCAAAAACAAGGTGAATCCTTGGAATCAAGAAATACTAATATTTTAAGTTTCAAATTCAAATCTAAAGGCCACACTATACATCACTGTAGTCTTATCAGTGATAAACCTCACTCATTGAAATCTCTAAATTCCTGCTGGGCCCCAAATTATTATAGTTTGCAAAAAATTAGAGAAAGTATACCTATTTGAAAAATTTTATCTGCCAATATTTCCTTTAAGATCATCTCTAAGACTGGCCTAACAACTTATGGGGTACTTCCTACCACCTAAAATACTATGTTCATTGTTGTCCTCCACAAATTTTCGTTAATAGTACATCAATGCACATTTCATGTGTAAGTTTCCCAGACTTGGTAGAAGAGCTAAATATCTGAAATTACCTTGAGTGGTAAAGTTGAAGAGTGCCGGTGTGTCTCGCCCATTTGGTAGTTTGACATTAGGGTCCCGTAATTCATCGAAAAATGAATGTGCACAAGCTTCTAGTGGTGTCAGTCGTGCAGTCGGTGTATATTCCAGCAGACGACTACATAGTGCAATTGCCTCTGGTGGAGTTCGGGGTCGGAAGACCTTAAGTATAAGGAAAGGGAAAGAATATTAATGTTTTATCATAAGAATCTAAGCAAATAACCCAGTGAGTACTTTGTTAATTCCCATCATGGATAAGAACATGGTGTATTTGGGAAAGGAGCCTTCTAGAATGAAAAGAGTTAACTGCATATGATTCACCACACTGGGGTAAGTTCCTAATTGGAGGCTATGAGAGAAATGCTCAGAGAAAAATCTACACATGCTCATCATAAAGCAGTACATTCAAACATGCATATAAAATAGGACAGACACATGACAAAGGCTTAAGTCTGGAGGCAAGCAAAACTAGAAGAATATAAAAAAATTAAAGTTTAGACGCTTAAAAAACTGCCTGTCAGTAATCATAGCAGAATAATTGTTGGCAATAAATAGCACTGTTCAAACTTGGCAATCACTATTAAAGAAGAAAAGCTATTTCTCTAGGCCTACAAATACAAATGCTTCTCAGTAAGCAGAACTTACCATCATTTGAGGAAGTTATTTATTTATTTATTTATTTATTCATTCATTCATTCATTCATTCAGTACCGGGGATCAAACTCAGGACCTTGCACTTGCCAGGCAAGCACTTATTCTACTGAGCTACCTCCCCAGCCCTCTGAAGAAGTTACTGAGTATTCTGATGTGACAAAACGTCTGACAGTGTTTTCTTAAGTAGCTATTAGCATGAATGTGGCCAAGTCACTCTTAACTAAGTGAAAATAATAAATATTCTATGATTTATGAATATAATCAGGGAAAGGGAAATGTATTTTTCATTAAGTCATAAGCAGAAAAAAGTCAAATGAAGACCATATCATAGTAAAATGTAAATAAATTAATTTTCTTGAAATAAATAGCTTTCTACTCATCTGTGTATTAAAAGCAATCAATGTACAGAACTATGGGAATATATTTCATTCTAAGTAATGCTAGTTGAAGAAATTAATGGGAAAATAGAAACAAAAGTACATAGACGAATCTTCAATACTAAAAAAGAATGAAACATTTCCTTGATAAAATAAAGGTGTGGTAGTGGAGGTAGACAGACACATAAAGGGAAGCAGACAGAATGAGCAGAGGGGAGAAAACCTGCAAGTGAGGAAGGACATGCAGACTCTGATGGGGGTGAAAGTACTCTGGGAAGCTGAGGTTTCCTTATGGCAATGGGTCACATAACATCCAGTTGTTCACTTAAGGTAAAGTCAGGAGAACTGGGCACAACAAGAGTTCATTAGGTATTTAGAAGACTAAGAGTGCTTTCTATAAAAACTAAAAACTTAAAAAAAATATACAGCTCACTACTGAAAAATTATTTCCCATGGAAACTGAGAAGCTGGTTTAAATATAATCTTTGTTTCAGAACCTAATGATGTTAGTCAATTTATTGGCTATATTAGAAAGCAAGCCCTTTGTAAGATCAAGAACTGCCTTGTATTTATGTTTTTGAGTGTTTTTAGTTGAAAAAACTTTAAAATGCTTAGATCATCATGTTTCTGGTCATTTCCCCCTTTCTGGCTTAAGGTTCATAATCAAATCCAGAATACAAAAAGAAAATAGTCCAAAAACTAAGAAAATTTATCATTAAAACATTAAATGCTTTTGATATTTTATTCCTGCATTTACTTGATATTATATGAATTTATCTGCTAGCTGATCCAATACGCTTCAACACCAATAATGGTACCACATAAGTAGAACTAAAAATAGCATCACATTCAAAATGAACATTCCTGCTACAATTCCAAGGTAGGGCTAGCTAGCTGGTGAGTGAAAGAAAGTTTCTTATTAAGGAATTTTTTATGCTAGAGGTATTAATAAACCAGTACTGTAAGTTTATTTCTGACAAACTTCTTTCTCATGTTTTACTGGCTATGATCATCCATGTTTGTACTAAGATATGTATTTGTATATTTTGTCAGAAATCCTAACTCAAATAGTTATAAAAAAATAATTTAAGAATTTACATTAAAAGTCAGGAGAGAATCTGCTTTTAAAAAAAGCTTCTGATTTTACTTTAAACCCTTGAAGTCTCTTGAGAAAAACCTTGGTTCAGTACTTTGTGGAGAAAGATAAAGTAGAAAATTATGTGGAGTTAAAACCCAACATCCCAGAGTTTAGATTTCTGACAATAAATACAGGGTGTGGTAGCATGCAACTTCCAACAATTACATTCCAAACCAAAAACTAGCTCTTCTCAGTATCTTTATATCTAAAGAGAAGGAAACCAACAACTATTGAAATACAGGTTTTAGTAAAAGAAGTTTCTGTTGCCACATCATTTCTTGCTCGGTGAAACTGCTTGATACCCAGAATGTTTGTTTTAGTAGATCTTTACCAGTATTTTATTCTTGTTAATAATTAAAAACTCCACAATTCCTAAACTTCAATCTGTATGTCAAGGATCACCTAGGAGACTGACAACCTAAATATACCATAAAAAACCTATTCCATACAACTAATGAAAGAAGAAATCACAAGTACCTACATTGTTTCTACTACTATATTTCAAGAATTATTTCAATTTTCACAAAATATTTACCCCCAAGTTTTATAGATCTGCCTTGAAATTTTGGGAAAAAAAAAAAAAAATTAAGTACATACCCGCACTCCTGAGGTGAAATGTCCTGTTCCTGACGAATCCTAAAGATGATAATGCAGTGAAATAATCCAAACAGGGGAAGTCAATCCAAAAGAGAATAGTCCAGCAAGGAAAAATATATCCAATGTTATAAGAAATTCATGGTGTAGGGGGACATAGAAAATGTTTATACAATTATAAACTTTAAACATCAGTAGCAAGTCCAGAATTTAAAAATTATTTCACCACAGTGTATGCAAAAATTTTTTTTGATTGTGCAATGGTGAGGCACAGTAAAGAAACATTTTAATTTGTTTATTATGTTCCAATGCCAGTGTATTTATTAAAAAAATATAAAACCAAAAAAAGTTAAATCAAAATGAAATCTAGAAGTAAAGTTCCCAAAGTAAAGTGGTCTTCTATGACCTGGATTCATCATCCATAGACATGGCTGGGAGGGGGCATATTAGCCTGCTTTTAAAGATGTAGGTTCCCAATATATTAATTTTTCACAATTAATATGTCCCAGTTACATAGTATAAACATTTTTGCTAAATCATTAGTGATGAGAGAAGCATATTTAATATTTTTACTTTATAGTACTATAGATTTCAAGCTAGATATTTTCAATTTGTGTGAACTAAGAACGATTAGGCCACCGCGGATTATTCTCCATTTTTGGATTGACTTCCCTGCTAAAAGATGTTTATTTGCTGACATTCTCATTATCTTAGGACTCTTCAGGAAACTGACATATCACATCAGGAGTGCGGGTATAAACTTACTTTTTCTATGTGGGCTTTGCCCCCTCATACCCTTGCACCCATTACTGAGGAAAAATATAGAACATTCTTTCCTTTTTGGAAAAATTCACTGAAAAAAAAATCTTGTATTTTTTAGCACTACAAATTCAACACAGTTCAGTCTGAAAATATGCCCAATTCACCCACCAAAAGCTAAACAAAAATTTATACAATAAACAATACAATTAAGGGACAGTCACAGTTACAGGTGACATGCATAGTAATGTATACCAACACCTAGGCACAACGGAGCCAAATATACAAGGGAGGTAGCAGGGTCTATTATGTCTAGGTATTGAGAACAAAAGAACAAAAGGCAGAACTCACCGGTAGCTGTGAACTCCCTTGGCTATTCTAAGAGAATGTAACATTCTTTAGGATAGTTTCCAGTGGGAGAATTAAATATTTTGCAAAAATAAATAATCCGCGGATTATTTTTAGTCTGCAAACTAAGATTTAGTATATGGATTAAAATCCAGCCCATAAGAATAAAAATTCTCACAGCACAACCAGGTGTACAAAAGTAGAAAACCATACTAAAAGACCTGACAGCACAAAGTAAAATTCAACTGGGCCAACTAATAATTAGTGCGCAGACTAAATATGGCCAGCCAAGTATACAGCAAGGCCAAAGAGATTTCAAAAAAAAAAACCCCTTATAAAAATCTAAAAGCAAAGGGCAAAGAAAAAAATAAATAAATAAAAGAAAAAAGAAGGAAAAAAAAAAAAAAAACCAGAAAGAAAGAAAAAAGAACAGGTCAAAAGAAAATATAGAAAGTAAAATTCAAAAGAACCAAAACACTGACATGAACTTTTAAAGTGATTTAAGTACTACCTCACCTATGCAGCAACATATTTTCTTAAATTAAAACAAACATCAGCTCTCATCACAAATGCTAGTCCATAGAAGAAACAGAAAAATACATTGTTTTCTTTTTAGCAAAAAGAAAGTCTATGGTGTCTAACAAATGCAAACAATTATTCAAAGTAAATTTGCATTTGGGTAACCCAAGACTGACACAGGTAACTCTTTTCCTGTACGTCCTAAAACAGACTTTGGCCATCCAAAGTTCAAACTGGAGCTGCTAAGACTGACTCTCAGCCCTTCAAAATGGCTGTTTATTAAAAATCTCATACCCTGACTATCAAGTCTATACTTAAGCTGCTTCAAACATCAGCTATCACCAACTCTGCTATATTATGCAGCCGATCAGAGAAATATGAAACTGATATTTTATGGCTAAAACAGTAATAATTAATTTAAAAAAAATTTAATGCATTTGGTTGTTGCAGAGTATCACTACACAGCTCGGACTCATGGTAATCCTCCTGCTTTCATCCTCCCCAGCATGTGCCCATTCTTGGACTTTGGCCAGCTCAGCCCACCAGGGGGCAGGACTGGTACAGCATGTGCTGCTAGGGATCGAGCCACAGTCCCTGTGCTTGCCTAAGCTTGCCTAAGTAGGCAATTTGGTCTGCTGAGCTATCTCACCAGCCCAGTGGTAATTAAAGAACACAGAACATGTGTTGTAATGGTTTCAAACAGCTATTTGACTTTATTATTTTTCATAATAAATTTACAACACTGACACTGTATTCTGGCCTACACAAAATACAAGCCCCCAGTATAAAAAAATGAATAAACCATAGATGTTCCTAAAGTACAATTCAACAATGGCTCTCAAATAACCTATTAATAAACTAAAATGAAAGAGTGGATCTGTTGAACAGCTAAATATTAAATAAGAAAAGAAATTATATCAAAGTTCTTACATAATAGCATATAAATCAATTAACTGGTCTACACTATAATTTAAAAACATTTTGGAGTGTTTTACATTGTTCTAATGATGCAGTGACATGAAGTGACACAACTCATTTTAATACTATCAAAAATGATTACCAGCAGCTATTCAAAATTGATTTTCAGAGAATACATGAGCCAACTAAAATAGGTATGTTTGAAGTTAGCATCTAATGTGGTAGAGAGTAAACTGAATACAGTGAAAGCTTATTCAAGGGATACATTTTTTTCTAACCTTTGAAGATAGCAGTTTTACATTTAGGTAAGGAAGGCTGAGTATAAGAATCACAAAGAATACTGTACTTTCTTTAGCTATGACAGAGTATTCAATGAATTTCAGTTGTACTAATTCAAAAACTAGTTGAGTTTTCCTAAGTTCTGTTGTACATAAGACAATATGTGTAGATATTAGTATTTAACTATGCAATATAATGTATCCTAAATCATTCACTGATGACAGGACAATACTATGGGCTTACACATTACATGTGATTTACCCAATAATATTCACTTAACATTTAATCTCTTACTGTTCACAAAATAAGTTACTGTAGTCATGCTGGCCTTCCCAAGAATACATGAATACAGCATTTCCTTTTCCCCCACAACTTCCCACTGAAGCAATATTTAACTAGGCTACCATTACTAATCTTTTCTATCTTTTTTTAAATTATAATTTTCATTCAACAGCCTACTTTCTCTGTCATCTTTAAAGAGACTTCCTTTACCCCTTTAACAGCTTCCCTAAAGATTCACTTTGTAAAACCTATTAAGAATGTGGAAAACCTTTGAACTATTACAGTATATTATCAAATATACAGTCATACAGCACTTTACATCAGTCAACACTTTGAGCTTGTCAAGGACAAGGAACTATAATTTATTTCTTGTAGTATTGGTTACATAGAGCGTACAACATTCATATTTATTTATTTATTTATTTATTATTCATTTTAGGAAAGGATCTACAGGGTGTTCAGGGGCTCACTACTAGATTAGACTCACAGTGATCTGCCTGTTCACAGCCTCCCAAGAGCTGGGATTACAGGTGTGTACCACCACGCCCAGTCTCAACTGCCATCTCAGTGGCCCCGGCATGGCAGGCCTGGGGATCAAACTTCCCATCCCTTGTGCCTGCTTGCAGACGCTTTAATCTGCTGAGCTATTTGGCCAGCCCACATGATTTAAAGAACAAGTGATAAAGGAAGGGAAATTTGAAGAACAAGTGATAAAGGAAAGGAAATTTTTATGTCAAATTTGCCTTCCTTTCCAATCTATCCCTAACCTATGTCTGTCTCCTATAAACAATTTTTAGTGGAAGTCCACTCACACAGGAAAATGGACATTAGAAAGAGGGAGAAAATGATTATTCTAGCACTAATAAAGATACATGCAGAAATTTCAGTAGACAATATAATGTAAGAATCCAGGAGATAAATGATAACGGGTTAGAGTATCCAGGGCAAAGGAGTTTGAGTAATTATATAAAACACAGGAGAAGTGGCAATCTTAGGAGCCAACAGAAATTTCCAATATGGTTTTGCGAATGAAATGAATAAGACAGAGAAACAAAAAAAGACACACATAGGAGACAGGCAAGAAAAGTTTGATAGCAATCTTTGCTTTTGTGCTTTCCAGGCTTCACTATAGGCAATTTTGGTAATGTAGTGAATATCAGTTAAAATATAAATTCTTACTTTCTGAAAAATCTTGTATATAAGGATCAGAGGAAAAAAAAGTATGAAGAAAATCTTTTTTTTTTTTTTTTTTAATTTTATTCTTTAATGTATTTGGTACAGGATCTTACTATGCAGTTCAAACTCAAGTGATCCTCCTGTTTTCAGCCTCCCTGGTGCTGGGATTACAGACATGTGCCAACCACACTGAGTCTTGATGACTAGTTTATCATGCCTGGGGGCCAGGGCCAGGGCTGCATGTGGTATGGGGGATTGAACCCCAGTCCCTGTGCTTGCTTAAGCAGGTGCTTAGTCCACTGAACTATCTTGCTGGCCCTAGAAAATCTTAAAAAGTCTATAATGATTACTTTTTTTTTTTTTTTTTTTAAGCTAAAATGGACCTTAGAATTTAATTTTCTGCCCACTCTGTTAGCCAGTTGGGAATACTAGTATTTATTCACATTAAAGCACATCATCCATGTTCTAAGAAATCAAGTAGGCAAAGATTAATTTTTGTGGATAATGCTTTCTAGTACCTGTATGTGTAACCTACACACCTGAAACTAAACAACAAACATTTAAAGGTTAATTCATACCTGTATGATGAAAAAGAAACTAGGAGCTGCTATTATATAAATAGTATGACTTAGTAGGTACTATAAGAGTTATATAATGGGAATACAGTAATCATGAAGAACTTGGAGAACAGGAAAGTATTACTTGAGATCTTCAGAAAGTTGAACAGGAAAAAAAAAAGAACATTCTAAATGGGATGGAGAACAAAATAGCAAAAGATAGAAATAAATATGGCTTTTCTGTGGTCTCTGAGACAACAGTTTGATTACCTCAGAAAATTCCACATGAGTACAATGACCTTCAATATAAACTACAAGCTGACCAACACTTATACATAGCTAGCATATTAAGTAGCCCTGTAACAGCAGGGCCCTTGAGATTCTAATCTACTTTCTTCTACAAGACGTATCACTTACGGAAGAATATACAGACATCTGTTACTTAATTGATCTCACGGCATTACTATTAGGATAAAGTGGAAATATTTATCCTACTGAAATTTAAAAAAAAAAATAGCAAAACTGGGTAAGCAAAACAAGGGGGGGGGAATCCAACACAGCCACTAATTTATAACCTGATTAGAAATTCCTAATCTATCTAAATAAAACTTGAAAATTCATTTCCTAACAATATGCATTTCTTTTTTTTTTTTTTTTTTTTTTTGCGGAACCGGGGATTGAACTCAGGCCCTTGCGCTTGCCAGGGAAGCACTTATTCCGCTGAGCCATCTCTCCGGCCCCACAATATGCATTTAAGGAGGAAGAATGTTAGAGATCTTGGTAAAGTAACTACTTTTAAGCAATGAAATATCCTAGAGAAGGTTAGCAGCAGGACAAAAATAAAATGCCCGTTTTCCTGGAAAGGAAGGATATAAAAGACAAAGAATAGAGTGACTGCCAGGTGTGATGGTGCATGCCTGTATTCCTAGCACTCTGGAGGCTGTGGTAGGAGGATTACCACAAGTTCCAGGCTAGTTTGGGCTACAAAGTGAGTTCAAGGCCATTTTGAACTGCATAGCAGCAAAACCCTGTCTCAAAAAAGACCTCCCCTGCAAAAAAAAAAAAAAAGAACAGAGTGACTGAATACCTGAAACTGGGATACTTTGAGAGTAATGAATATAGGAATTTTATAGGAATTGCAACATTCTGAACCCAGTTACCTAACCAGCCTTGTCACTGTATGTATTTTATGTCAAATTTCCCCTAAAGACTATGACAGTATCACATATTCCTTTATTTTCTTGACACAGGCTCAGCTCTCATTACATAATGCAGGCAGACTTTGAACTCACAATCTCCCTGCCTGAGCCTCCTAAATGCTGGGATTACATTCATGTGTAACGGCATCCAGCTCCCACATAGTTTTTAAAATCTAACTTTGATAGCAATGATGATGGACTGAAGTGATGTGAAACTAAAGAGGTGAAACTAGGAGGCAGCAGATTATTTTACAATTCTACTATATGACAATGTTCTAAACCAAAATTAAGAGCAATGGAGACAACAACAACAACAACAAAAAAGAGGACAAATCAGAAAATTATGTTGAGGTGTAACTTTCACATTTACTTAAAACTAAAATAGAAGTCCTTTATAAACAACCTGCATTTTCAAAAGAGCCTGAAGAAAAGTCATAGCAGATAATTACTACCTTACAAAAGAAAGAAGCTGAGGTATAAACATTAGGAGCAGCAGTGTTTATCTCCTCACTCTACTTTTTATATATTCTGTCACCTAATCCTGCCTTCACATTCTAACTGCAAAATTTAAGCTTCTTTACCTCTTCATCTCTGGCTCTACTGAATTCTCCATCTACTTTTATATAAGTTCCTTTCACTTTTACTCTGATTTTCTTTCTTGAAGTGTACCACATACACCAATGTAGAGGGCCTATGTTCTCTCATACCCAATAACAATCCCTATTTAAAACCATGACCATGTATTTCTTTCCCCACTTAAGCCACAAGTGTTTTATTAATAGATTAGGTTGCACTGCTATTCTGGAACAGTCAAGGGCAACTTAATTGATTTTTGTCATACACCATTCTGGGACCATCTCAGTTTTTTTGTATTTCTTCACTCTTTTCCAAACACCTATATCCCGTCATCTCATTATATACTTTCACAGAAGACATTTTCTCTCTTAATCTTTATTTCTGACTGCATTTTTGAGACTCAAGTTACCAATCTTGGAGATCCAGCTGCATTATACAGTAACTGAAGAAATCAAAGAGTTCATATCCATACACCCACAGCTTTGGGAAACGGAAGATGGGGGTGGAGGTTGGGGGCGGGGGGAATGGGGTAGGGAAGAAAAAGTTCTTACTTTTTGACCCCTACTTTCCAGACCCTAATGGCAAGATGTTCTACAGTCTTTACAGAGTATTGTTTTTAAAAATTATCCCTTCGGCTACTTAACATAAGACAGCATTTCTTAAGTTGCTGTCTACCCTCATAATGGGAGAAGGTAGGAAGAGGCAAATGAATCACCTCTAGGACTCTCATAAAATTTTGTATTTTCATAAAATCTGTATTTTAAAAAAATCAAAACAAGTATATTTTGATCATCGGACAAAATGGAACCATGGAATTTCTGCATACTAATTTGTGTGTGCTGAGAAGTAAACACAAACGAATGAAATGAAAACCAAATTATGTAAAAGAACACTTTGATTTGAAGTGTTCACAGTAATTTTAGCAGAAAAGGTAGAAGTAAATCATTATTCTGGCCAGGGAGATGGCTCAGTAGAATAAGTGCTTCCCTGGCAAGCACAAAAATCATTCTACACCTAGTACAGGAATGACAATGTAAAGAAGGTGAAAGAATAGTTTAAGGCACACAAATTCATCATAGCTGTTGTGCTGGCTGAATTTTAATCAATCATTCCTCACATTCCACTCTGGTTAATATTTCCAAAGTGAGGCAATAACCCAAAGGAAAAATGCCAAATATGATACATACTAATGTTAACGGCAATGCTGATTTTTTAAAAAATGAGGATGGGAACTGTTAAATAGGACTTTATGATCTTAATATCAGTCATATATACATACATAGAGGGTAATATCTGATGAATACTTCATACCATAACAAAGAAAACTATGGACATATAGATAAGACAAAACAAATTATACTCTTCTTACCCATACTTCCTTATTTACTCATAGCACAGAATTTTGAGTTATTTTCTCCTTAACCTGACTGAAGCCATAGTATACTATAAACCACTTATTTTAGCACTTTTAACTTGTTAATATCTTTAATGGATTCTAACTAAACCCAAAATAAGCTACCAGGGATTCTCTGAGTTAGAGGCAAGTGAGAGTTTATAAATATTTCCTGACTCTAGCTCAAAATAAACCTTAAGTACAAAAATCCAAGGGGCCGGGATATAGTTCAGTGGCATAAGTGCCTGCCTGGCAAATGCAAGGTCCTAAGATGATCTCTGGTACCGCAAAAAAAAAAAAAAAAAAAAACCTCCCCAAAAACCAAGAGTACTTTATTGAAGATCATTTAGTGTTTATCATAATTTTTTTTTAAAAAAGGGAAGAATATATTGGTCTCTTGGTTAAAAAGGAAATAATAGGGGCCAGGTAGATGGCTCAGCGGAATAAGTGCTTCCCTGGCAAGCACGAGGGCCTGAGTTCAATCCCCAGTTCTGCCAAAAAAATAAAAATAAAAATAAAATAATTCAGAAATTTTCTGTACTTCCGATTTGATTTGAAACTGTCTCATTGCTGTTTATCAATAAAATTTTGAAAAAAAAAAAAAAAGGAAATAATAATTAGCAATTTGATTTTCTGAAGAGAAGTAAGTACCAAAATAAAAACTATCTTTTGGTAAATTGGTAATTGTGCTGTTTAGAACTGATTCCATCTAATGTTAAGATTGGCTTTTTCCAATGGCTGGTAATACCCTTTAAAGGTATCAGCTGCTTTCCATATATAATCCCAGAAAGATTCTATCTGCTTTTTAATACTGCTCCCAAAATACCAATAAGAGGGAAAAATAAAACCACACATGAAATAAGAATATGGACAATAACGAACCTCTATGTAAATAAATTTCTGAATTTTAGGTTGCTGAACTTTATATATAAGATCCTGCTCCAATATTTTAATGATACAGGTACCTTACTATGCAAGCAAATGAAGGCCCAGGCTGGAAACCTCACAGAATTCAGTAAGAACAAAACTATATACAGGCAATGTAGCACTAAAGTACAACTACTCAATTCTATTTACATGCAGAACTGCTATTATTTGTACCCAAGTACTTATTCTGGTCTCCAAACAGTTTAAGAACAAGGAGAAATGTAAGTTTTTGATAATACGCTTTCTTAAAAAACTCATTTTCACTCACCTTTGTCCAAGGATGCGCCTTAATTTGAGGGAATTTGAATTCGGTGTAATTTGGGTTCATTTCTCTAATTTGCTCCCTTGTTGGTGTTCCAAGGACCTAGGCAAGAAAAAAAAATTACATAGTGCCATCTTTTCCCAACATTTTTACACAGTCTCAATACACTGAGTACTTTACTGCCTCTAAAGCTGCACTAAGCACTGGATAAAGTAAAAGTACAAAGACCTGGTGGTATAAGTGTCAAGAAGAAATAGTCAATACTAAAAATGAGCACTGTGAAAAAATTCTATGACCTAGAATAAAACAAATTTATTGAAATGAAATATTACACCATTTATAACTAAATGACAGCTAGCTACACAGAATAAAAGCAATGCAATATACCAAATATTTACTTTGTGGTGGCAACCAGTGAATATTCAGGGTAATTCTATAACCATTCTGGACAGGGTGAAAATTTTCATATTTTTTGTTGGTTCTAATTCTTTGGACTTCATTACCTATGAGAACTTCGTAAGAATCTTAAACAGTTTCTTCTTTAAAAGATACTCAAGAGAATGAAAAGAAAGGAAAATCAGAATTTTAAAAAATCTGATATATTTTGCAAAGTGTCTCGAATACATGGACAACACTAGCGGACATTATACTAAGTGAAATAACAGACACAGAAAGGTAAGTACTGTACCTTTTCATTTATATGTGGAAACTCAAACACTAATATCAAAAGAAGTAGCGAAGAGAACAATGATTATTAGAAACTGGGAATGGTATGGAGGTTAGAAGGAATGGAGACAGATGGGTAATGTGTATGGGGTGTAATTATTAAGGAGAAAGAGCTTCTAAATTATACAATTCAGAAGAACTACCTACAGTTGACAAGTGAGTATTTCAAAATAAGTAGTACAGAAGATCTTGAATAAATACAATATAAACGAATGATGTAACTCTTAACTGATAGGCCCATAACCATAATCATTATCCACTGCATACTTGTGTCAAAATGCCACACTATATCTCAAAATGTACAACACTATGTGTCAACCAAAACAAAAAATAAAGATATGAACAGACACTTCACCAAAAACAACATGAAGATAGTAAATGCATACATAAAAGTTTTTCAACACCATTAATTACAAGGGAAACTTTAGTTAAGTCTACAAGATACAACTACACAGTATCTTATAGCCAAAGAGCAGGGCTAAAACTAAAGGCTTTTTAGGGGTAAATGAGTTTCAGGAGATAGTATCAAAGAATCTGATTATGGGATTTGGTTGGAGGACAAACAACTTAGTTTGTAATTTTAGCAGCTGTGAAAATGTTTAGAGTATTAAGCATGAAACTGTAGACCTGGAGAAAAAACAGTATGCACGGGATGTATGGGACACAGACATATGGCAATAAGGATATTTAAAAAGAAGGCTATAATGGCTAGAAGAGGCACCACAATCAACACATGGTTAACATTTAAAAAACAGAGAGGTAAAATAAAATTCAAAATATGTTCACTGAAGTTGGCCATGAAGGTATTGGATTTAGATAATATCCATTATAGAATAAGCTGACTGTAATCACCTGAAATGAGTTCAGTGAAGATGGCAAATTAATTTTTTTCAAAAAGTACATAAGAGAAAATAGAAAGTAATTTATTAGTTTACAATGTGGTAAACTACAATACTGGCACTATGACAATTTTCTTTCTTCATTTTAAATTTTACAGATACTGCATTACTCCATTTTACACTTCAAGAAACCTAAGGATAACTGAAGCCTCAAAGTTACAGTTTGTTAGTGGCAGAAGAGACACACAAATGTTTGTGTAAATGATTCATCAGGAATAGGACATTTCACCTCAGAAGTGCGGGTATGTACTTAATTTCTCCCCCCCCCCCAATACTTTACCCAGTACTAAGGGCAGAAAAATGGGTGGTTAAAGGAAAAACAAAAACAAAAACAACAACAAAAAAAAAAACCCCACCAAAAAACATTTCCTTAAACTTCTTTGATTGTACCATTAAAAAAAAAATCCTGGGGCTGGGGAGATGGCTCAGTAGAATAAGCGCTTGCCTGGCAAGCACAAGGGCCTGAGTTCAATCCCCAGTTCCACCAAAAAATAAATAAATAAAGGAATTATGTCAGTTAAAAAAAAAAATCCTAAATTCTTTTGAACTGTAAACATATA